TATCGCTGCCCCCCGCCCAGCCCCTTTCAGTGAGCAGGTCCTGGGTGAGGAAAGGGCTTCTCAAGGAGGAACAGAAGCCCCCAGTCTGTTGCACCATGCTGGGACCCGACCCACCGACTGGGGCACAGGGTGGCCCCAGCCCTTCCAAGGGACCCACTTCGCCACTGCTGCAGGGGGAGCTGCTCTTCCGCCATCGCCTCTGCCCAGTTGCCTTGCCTGCCTGCTGGGCAAATGCCAGGCCGGCCCTTGTGCTTTTGCTGCTCCAAAAAGCTTCTGAGTGGCCTCAACCATCTTGGCTCTGCCAAGGAGCACGTCTAACCTCCTCTGATTACTTCCTCTTTCAAAATGAGGTTCCAGGCACCTCCTCCCTGAAATACCTGGCCCAAAATGAACGGATTCCTCTTTTCATGTGTGCATGAAAGGTCAGTGACGAGGGAGACATCAGGACCGCCAGCCCCACCTGCCCCCCCAGCTCCAGCGGTCATCTTACCCCAGTTCAAGAAAGAAACATGGCTTCTACAGAGCTTCCGGGAGCTCTCCGGGCCACGCCAGTGTCGCAGGCCAGACTCCGTTGCTGGGCTAAATGTCTGCTTGGACCACGGAGAGGCGGCGCTGCAGGAGTTTTGGTGACCCGGCCTTTTGGGAGCGGTGGGCACACCAGGAGTTGGGGAGCAAGACCACTGTCAATCGCCTGGCTCGCCCGGTCCCGCCCGCCCTTCCCAGCCCCTCTCTGCTCTTCCTCCAGGATTCGGCAGAGCAGCTTCTGGGCACGGAAAAGAAAAAGCAGGCGGCCACGACCGGAAGACGCCCCTTTGAGCCTCAAAGAAAATTGCGCCGGCATCTCCCAGAAGGGGCCAGGTCATCCCCACCTGAATCCAGCAGTTACCCTTGCCCTCCGTTTCTAAAGATTCGGGAGCATGCCCAGGAGTGGGTGCCAAGCGCTCACAGACGACCAGGTCCTGTAAACGGATCTTTCCGCAGGGAGCCGGCTACAATCAGGCCTCGCACGTCAAACCCAGGCTATTTTTATTCACGGCACAGCAACACACACTACAGCTGCTTGCTATCTATGACATAAGAGTATGTACACAGGCCCAGCAAACGCAGAGACACGAAATAATAAATTAAAATAAAAATGCATTGTTTTTTGTTGATTAAAAAATTATCCAACCGAAGTGCAACAAAGATGAGAGGGTTATGCATGGCGGAGGTCTCGGTGGATGGGTTTATTTGCTCACGTGGCTGACTAATGGCTTCCCAGCTGGGCAAGAAGCCGTCCCTCTGTCCCTGGAGCCATTGCCCTCCACATCGGCTGGACCGGCCCAGGTCCCGAGTCCCCACAGGCTACCCCGTGGGCAGCTGGGGAGCGGGCAGGATCCCAGGAGAGAAGTGGTTTCCTAGGCCACCCTTACGTTCCCCCCCAGATTCCCCATGGAGGGGGCACCACCGGCGGAAGGGGGAACAGCTTGGTCCTCGTCCGGTCCTTGCTTTCCCACGCGGTCCTTTCAGGGCCCTGTTTGCCAGCGGCCACCTCCTCCCGTCTCTGGCTAGTCATTGGACGTGACATCAATGTCTTCTGTATTGGACTGCTTGGTGGCGATCCGCCATCGGTTGATATGGTGGGATCCCTTTTTCTTTTGGTCTGACTCGGGACCTTCTTCCTCTAGTTTCTGCCTTTTGTATTTGGTCCTTCTGTTTTGAAACCAGACTTTCACCTGGATGAGACAGAAAGGTGGAAAAGGGTCAGGGAAACAGGAACAGTTAAGGCTTTCTTGGAAACAGGGCTGGGGCATTTCTAAACCTCGAAGAGCCGTTCTAATTCATTTGTGCAAATGCAAACACTTGTATTC